ATGTTTTCCAAAAATTTAAATATAACTTTAAATCCCAAATCTCTGACCAAAATGTGGAGTAGCCTAATATCATTATTTTTATAATTGTTGCTACCCATATTTTTCCCAAAATAAGACTGGGTCTTATATTAATTTTTGCTCCAAAAGACACATTAGGGCTTATTTTCCAGTTAGTTCTTATTTTGTGGGGAAATACAATACTAAATGCGTCTGTCTGGCTGACAATCTTAACTGGGGCTTATATTGGGGGCAGGGCTTATATTACGAGCGTCTTGAAAAATCATGCTAGGGCTTAATTTCTGGTTAGGTCTTATTTTCAGGGAAACAAGGTATATACTCCTATCTGACATAAGACTTTGAAGAAGTTTTAATATCAAAATAACATCTGCTGAAACTCAGGATCAGTACTAAAATTTTCTGCATATGTTTATCAATACTATAAATATTACAAAAGTAATTTGGAAATTTTACTTCACAGAAGAAATTTTTGACAGAGATTTTTATGATCACACAGCATTAATTCAATGTTAACAAGACTCACATATTTTAATTATGTTGCTATTCTGGACACAAATCTGTGATGTTGTGATCAATATATATACAATGAATAAATTGAATGAATGAATAAGACATATGGGAATTTTTGTAAAATAGGAGGCATATAATTAGAGGAAATACGGTTCTGATTAGATTAGTTCGGTCCCAGTTTATTTCATCTATGCGGTTAATTTTTAAGAAATGCACTGAGCCAGTGGAAGGGACATTAGGTCAATACCTTCGAATTATAAGATTTGGACCACACTGGATATTGCATATATTATCTGTGCTTCCTCCAGCCAATGTTATTTTTCCAACTGATTGACCAGTGGTAAACATAATAGACTCAAACTGCTTTCCCATTGAATAGGAAAAACCTATAAAAAGGATGGTGGGCAATAAAGAGAAATCAAATAATACAGTGAGAGATAATGTGTAGTAATCAGGCATGACATGCACTTATTATTAAATTGTAAAGCTCTAGAAGTGAAACAAGAAATATCACAAAAGAGAATTTGATCTAAGTATACTTCTGAGATGTTAAATGTTGTCTAGTATTCACACAATCTATTTTCTGTCTTAATCCCAATCTATTATTCTCCAGATGTCTTATAACTTCCATCTTCAGGTGGCATAGCTACTGCCACTCATGGTTATAGATAGGTTTTGATGCAACAAAGCTGGAGGAAACCAGTTTCAAAAAATCTGGGCTAGTTTATTTATTTTAGAATCAGGAAACAATTTCACACCACATTTGAATTTGGAGACAAAAATAATTTTTTAATAGCAGTAAGTCCAGAAAGTAACTAACAGTTGGTCAATCATTTAAAAAAAATCATTTTATGGTATAAACCCAAATTAGAAAAGGAACAGAAGAGGTGAAAGAAAAAAGGGAAGAATGATGGGATGAGAAAACAAACCAATCACATTTGGTATTACCAGCCAGCAAAAGTTTATTAAAAATAATTCACCGAGTGAAATCGTACATTTACTCGGAGAGAGCATCCTTTGATATCCCCATGTAGATGATCTCTGAGCTCCTCCAGCTTTCGATGGAGCTATATGTAAACATCAGAAAATGAATTGAAAAAGCCACCTGTTGTCTTTTCATTTTCTTTCTTTCCATTTTTTTAAAAAAGTGAAGATACAGTATAACACATTTCTCATAGCCGTTGTAATATATGTAGCATAATACAAAAATATTAGCCTTTCGTTAAGATAAAAACATCATTTAGTTAAAATAGCAACTATTTTTTAAAGTGTAAACGTTAATTAGAAAATACATATAGTTATAGCTACTGGTTCACTTCTCAATGTTCATATATTGCTTTCAACCATCAGCGTACTAAACATTTTCAGAGCATTTTTAGTACATTTTTAAAATAGAGTCCTCATACAATTTCTAAATATTCTTATTCTGATCACTGTGTTATTTCCCATAATAATAAGATTTCTGAGTATCTTTATTTTATCCTTGTATTTTTGGGTCTATGCCAATGAATTCAAAAACCAAAAATATAAACTTTAAAATACTGCATTCATATTTTAGCAAGAATGTATAAATTTCTAAAAATACAATTTGGAAACGGATTTCTCACTGATTGTTTAATGTGCATTTATTTATAATGGCTAACCAATTAAATACATTATTTGGCAATGTTTATTTATTTATATAGTGTCAATTAATGTACACAATGTATACCTCAATTGCATTAAAGTATTAATTCTTTGAAAAAAAAATCCTCAGAGAAAGACAGAGGAATGTAATATTATCATTAGTATAAGTATAGTAGCATTTTTATTTTCATTTTCATTAGATTTATTTTTTGGAATTGAATATGGGAAACATATGCATAATTACAATTTTGTCCTCCTCTTTATGCTCAGTGCAATGACACTTTTACAGAGAGCAAGTATTAAGAGAAATAGTAAGATGGCTTCTCTTGGAATAAAGGTGATATACACACACACCATACACACAAAAGAAAATAATTTTCAAGACAGAAAGCTGAAATGGCAAGAAAGTGCAAAAAAGAACAGAAAGCACTTTGTGCTCCATGTTGTGCAAAACACAATTGAAGTAATAAAGTGAAATGCTTCAAAATGTATAAATAATAATTATCTATTTATACTGCTGAATATTGTGAGGATAACTATGCTGTGAGCTTTCAGCATTTTTATAATCCAAAATATTAAAAATATTTCTACTACGTTCATTGATTTGTTAGCCAACTCTATAAGAATATATAAATTAACATAGCTTAATATGATATACCACACAAGGAGATTAGTTTACTAATGTCGAATATTTAATTTTAAAGGGAGTATATTCAAAGAAATTTCATAAAATCTCTCTCTCTATTTTCCATTTAAATGAATGTGCAAACATATGTTCGAGTTCATCTAATTTATTGTACATAAGTACTTTTAAAGAATAAAATCTAAGAGAACTAACAGAAAACAACAATTTAGTTATCTTTCAAACTGGAAAAAGTGTTGTGTCTACTTAGATACAATTGAAAGTACATCCATTCAAACTACCTTTTTCCACTTAAAAGGAATCAGACTAACTCCTATATTGCAATTACGTAAGTTTAAGAAGGTGGTAGATTGTACCTCAGAATCCTTCTCTATCCTGCTCTACCTAGAATGAACAGAATTTGCTACCTTGCCATCTTAATAAGTGTTCATGATTCTACTCCAAAGACAGGTTAAGGAAACTAATTTCTTTTGCAGAGGTACAGTATGATTCAGAAATAATAGTTTGGCAACTTTCCTTTCGCTGACTGAGTTATGATGGCTCTTGTATAGCACAGAAACAAATAAAAAGTGATCCCACAGTGATTAAAAAAACGTGAAATAAAAATAAGTGGAATGGTGAGAAATATTGAAGCCCCACCCTCTGCCCTCCCTCCCCACTCTCTGTAAAAAAAAATGTGTAGGCTATAGAAGAAAACTTGCAAAATAAAATTTAGAAACATATTTACTTTGAGGGATCCAACTCTACTAGCAACTCCTTTGCTTTCATCCGGGCGTCTAATTTGCTACAATGAGGGAAGATGGATAAAAAAGACAGAAGAATAAAGAAAAAGTAAACTTAAAAAAATTTCCACACAGTCAGTTAGCAGTGCATGCAAGACATTACTTTGACTTTCTGACAAACTTCTAGGGAACAAGGACACAGACTCTTATTTCTGGATCACATTATGACTCATTTGCTGAGTTCTTTCTTTTTTGTAATGATATAGGTACTGAAATTGTACACGCTGTATTTACTAATTAGTGTTTTAATAACACACAGAATGCTGCAAGAGACTGGATTTGATTCATGAAGCATTGACAGAAATATAGCTGAAATGTATGAAATTGTGCCATATGCTATATAATTTAAGCACAGACCCGAGAAACCTGCTATTGTAGATTGAGCACTTAGCACTGCTAAATATCATGAGTGACAATTGGCAGAAAAATGTACAGCTGCTCCATGTTAAAATAAAATATCAGCCACTGTTCTTAGCTCCCAATTAAATACTTTTGCTGCCCAGCCAGAAAATTTTAATGCCATACCAAATGCTACTTAACAATAGCCAAGACACATCTCTTTTTTTACTACTAGCCTCATTGTGCTTTTCATTACTTAGAAAATCCTACACTGTGCAAAGCAATTAAGAAATAATTCTGTTATTGTTTACCGAGAGGTTGGGTTTCTAACAATAACATTGAAAACTAAATAGAAAAATATGCATAAACACACACACACACACACACACACACACGATAGCATAGGATCTTGATTGTATCTGTTTTGATAAAATTTTGGAAACACCAAAGTGCAAAGGCTAACATTTTGTATGGTATATCACAACTTGAAGGAGTTAAACCTACATGGAAATGGTGAAACATTCCCACTGGAATGGGATGGATAACAAATAAGGTAGCATAATACCAAAACCACAAGTTGATCCTGAATCCTAGAATTTCTAAGAATATTTTAATAAAGTGGAAACATATAACTAAAACTGAAGTTCACATCTCAGAAAAAGGATAAAAAGAAAGCTGAACTAGTTTTGCTTACTAATAATAAGAATTAGGTATATGGGGACTCCAATCATTCAGCTAAACAACTTATGATGGATTTTTTTTCTGATTTAGTATTTCTGTGCCTTAATTCCTCATTTATAAAGTATTTAATCATATATATCTTTATTACATACTAAGAGACTATGGATATATGTAAGGAATAAGATGAAAAAGAAATTCAGAGGAGAAAAGCTTCATTATTTTATTTCAAATAGCAGTTTCTTAATTTCTCTTCTTCAAGGATAACTATATTAAAGAATATAGAAATGGTGTAATTTAATACTTATTTACAAAGAACTATACATTACAATTACACATGTAAACAATGGGATTCATATCAAAAGAGTATTAAGGTTTTTTTTAATAATTCCACTTGAGATAAAGCAATAAAAATATATAGGTATTTGCACTGAAGCCTCAAAATATGGAAAGATAGGCCGAAGATTGTGTTTCAAAAGTAAATTGATTTCTATCAATAATGGGAAATAATGGGAAGATTTTAAATTAATCCAAATAATTCATCCTTCTTCAAGTAGTATTGCATAACGGAAAGAGACAGCAAATGTGCAAGCAGCAGCTTTTTGAATGGAAAAATCCATTAATGTACTATTTTCCATTACTAATTTGGAAATATGTCAAGTTAAAAGAAATAACACACCATTGTTTTAATAACATCAAGTTACTCGGCTTCAAATCTTGCAAATGAATGAAAGGCACATAGACTCTAGCATCTCAGATAGAAAATAAAGAGGACCATGGCAACTTTTTCCATCAGGTTAAGCCAGAAATAGATTTAAAGGCATCATTAAGGTGCTACATATATTGTATTTAGATAGATAGGATCAGAGAGTTGCCACCATGTATGCATTTGAATAGAACAGAGCTGGAAGGGACCTTGGAGGCCTTCTAATCCAGCCCACTGCTCAAGCAGGAGAATCTATACCATCTCAGACAAATGACTGTCTAGCCTCTTTTTAAAAATCTCCAGTGATGGAGTGCCCACGACTCTGGGGGCAAGCTATTCCATTGGTTAATTGTCCTCACTGTCAGGAAGTTTCTCCTTAATTCCAAGTTGCTTCTCTTTGATCAGTTTCCAACCACTGTTTCTTGTCCTGTCCTCTGGTGCTTTGGTGAATAATGTGACCCCCTCTTCTTTGTGGCAGCCCCTCAAATACTGAAATACTGCTATTATGTCGCCCCTATTTCTTCTTTTCTTTAGACTAGCCAAACCCAAGCTCATACATTTGTACTTAAGTAAAAGATGATTTGGAAAAGAGAAGATGAATTTCCCTAAATTAGGAATATAAAATGTATTCATTTTTTTCTACAGTTCTGCACTTAGGATGTTACTAACTGCAAATAATACACATGAAAGGCATATGGATAAGACAGAAAAAAAATAATGTAAGAATTACTTACCTTTAAGATAAAATTTTATGGTACATCTACTTCTGCATACTGTAGCACTCCTTCACTTTGTATCCTATTAATTGGTTAATCTCCTTTATTAGAGTTGTAAATCATTGATTACCATTGTTTTGATAACTATGATTATTTGTTGCTAATTTGTTCCAGATGCCACCCAAAAGACCGAAAAAGATAGAAAAAGCTCAGCCACTCTTTTTCTTCGTTGCATCAATGGATGGGGGCTTAAGAATGATTAATGCCCTGATTGCTTCTATTCAATTATCAGTCAATATTAGAATGTTTGCAGTTGAGAGCAGGATATGGATCTCTTCCCATTATTCTGTGAGATCTAGATAACAGTTTTTACTAATCTAGAAAAATATCTGGTGTTCTGTTAGAATTAAACTTACTTCCTTGATGCTAAAAATTGACATCATGTTCAAAAACTCTTTCCAGTTTGCTCTTTTCATTATTGTCCATCCAGTTAAGTCATGTTTTATATGGACGTATCAAGGACCTGATAATATTAGATTCTTAAATAATATAACAGTGTTGCCTAAGTTTCAAACTGTTATTATTCCTTGGATGAGAAAGCATTTGATGGTCCACTGAGAGTTTTGTGGGTAAATTATGGATGATTCCTCTGCAAGCTGCTACCTCTTTCTATACTTTGAGTATTGAAACATAAAGCTTAGTATTTGTATCGTCTCTCTGCAAGACAACATATAGGATGAGCCAAAAGGAAAAAAAGAAATTAAGTATTGGGGAATGGCTGATGGAGCAAAATATCAAGAAAAGACAACTGCAAAATAAGGCTGATAGGGAGATAGGAAAAATATTATAATATTATAATATTAATGATAGTATATTCTTTAGGAAACTTAAACTGGAGATCATCTACCTGCTTCCTTTCTGGTTAAAGAACAGCTAGGCTGCAAAATCTAAGGATTTGGGGAAAAGAACAGCAACGATGGGATTTGATTAATTATGGATTTTTCTAAAGTACATGTTTTATAGTGGTTAAAGCATCAGGAAAGAAACTGGTAGACTCTGAGTTCTAGTCTTCCCTTGGGAACAAAGTCAAATGGGTGGCCTTGGGCCAGTCACTTTCTCCAGTCCTAAAAAGGAGGCAATGGCAAACCATTTGTGAAAAGCCTTGCCAGGAAAACTGCAGGGACTTGTCCCAGCAGTTTCTGGGAATCAGACATGACTTAAGGGAAGGGAAAACAATTATTAGATCTCTCAGCAACATGTAGAATCTTAAAGTTAAAGGCAGAAAATCCAAATTACAGTGTAGTGATCCTGTATCCAGTGACTACATCCACCATTGTGTAATTGTTTCTGAATGATTTTTTCTTATATTTTTTTCTAATATTCAAGTGGAATCTGCCTTCTTGTAATTTAAAACCATTATTCCAATTCTGATTAAAATAATTATTCTTGATTTATTCAAGAGAGAACAAATCTTTTCTGGAATTTGAAAAGTTCTATTATAATTCCATTTGATCAATTTTTCTCAAGGCTAAATATATTTCGTCCTCTTAATCTTTCATTAGAAGGCTTAGTTTCCAATCCCTTGATCATCTTAATTGCCTTTTCTGTGGCCACTTTGATATCCCTGAATTGTTCTTAAAGTCTAAAAGGACACAATATTTAGGGTGGGGTCTGACCAATACTGTAAATGTGATTAACTTTAAGGGCAATGTTATGGAATGTACCATGAGCTCTCTAAAGCATTCAACAATTTATTTCATAATATACTTATTAATAAAATGGTAAATATGTACTGGCTTAAATGAATTCATAAATCCTGAATTATTATAGAAAAGAGTGCTCATAAATGGTTCCACATCAAGAATACAAATTAGATAACTATATAATCAAACTAAATAATCTTTGAGATACCTTCCACCTATATGTTATTTAATTTTATAGTATTTAATTTCATAGATGTTGAATGTTACACTATGTTTCATAAGCTTCAGTGGCTGCAGGTTTGCTTCCAGGTGCAATTCAAGGTATTGGTTATCACATTTAAAGGCCATGGCATGAGTCTGGCTATCTGAGGAACCATCTCATCTATACCAGCAGAAGGAGCATACTGCGGACCCTGTCGGTTAAGGAATTTCAGCTGGTGGGATCCAGGAGAAGAGTCTTTTCTGCTGTGATCTTCCACAAGGGTTTGAAGACCTGGCTCTGCCAGTTGACTTCAGACCCCAATGTGCATCATGCTGGTAGTGGCAAGATTAAGACAAGTCTTCACCTCCGCCTGTTCTCATCCTACTCCCTTCCTTCCCGTGTTTTTAATTGTAAATTATGATTATTATTATGAGGTTTAATTGTTTTAATGGGTTTTTTTGGCTTTTAATGTTTGTAAGCTTCCCAGAGGTGCCTCTAGGTGAGATGGGCAGCAAACAATTTAAATAAATATATCAGTCTCCAATAAATTACTTTCTGGGTAGCTTAATGTCAATAATAATATGAAAACATAAATCTTGTATCATATATTTTCTGAAAGAAGGAACATCCAGAATTTTGTGAAAACCTATTTTTGCTA